AGGAGGCTACTAGGAACAAGTGCCACGCTACTAGTAACAAGTGCCTTGCTAGTAGTAACAAGAAGCCACTAGGAGCAAAGGGCATCGCTACTAGGAGCAAGGAGGCTACTAGGAACAAGTGCCGCGCTACTAGTAACAAGTGCCTTACTAGTAGTAACAAGAAGCCACTAGGAGCAAAGGGCATCGCTACTAGGAGCAAGGACCCGCACCTCGAGTGACAACGCTTCAAACGCTTGGCCAGATTTGGGCTATCAAGACGTTGCTCTTGGGAGAGGAGGAGTTGTTGCACTCCAATTGGGGCTCCTTGGAAGAGTTTTTCGTCGTGAGTTTGCAAGACTTGCACTGAAGCAAGAACCCTCCTGCATGCTAGTATGGTAGTGTGTGGTGATTCTGGGGTGTTGCAGTCTCCATCTCCTGTCGACCGTCTTCGCGTCGTCCGAGGAGTGGAGGATCGGAAGGCCATGGTCATCGCCTTGCGCGATTGGGCGATGACCTCCGTGTGGGCCATCTGGACCGAAGGGTTGGAGTCCGTTGGAGTCCGTCCGTGTGCTGCAGGATTTCCTGCGTGTTTGTGTATACATGGAGATTGAGAAGCGGGCCCCCATGGAATTGCGATGAGTGCACCATTTTGGGAAAAGACATGTTGGAAACCAACCATGTGCAGGACCAATATGCTTGATTTCTGCTGTGGTGCACAGGATGTCCTTTCGCTGACTTGGCCCCCCCCAACATGCCAGTGATGGCGCAACTGCCGGATCGCCAGCCTTTCTGAACGGTGAACGTGGCCCCGGGCATCTACGAATTTCACTTCTTTGTACATGACAGGGGGGTCTCACGTCTCTCTTCCGAATGGGTTCGAACGGGATCGAAAGGGTGAACGATGAACGATGCAGGAACTCTGCAGTCCAAGATCGGTTGCAGGGATCCAAGAACAGGCAGAGCCAGCGGCTCCCAAGGCTTCTGGAGAAGTGCGCCCAACTTCTGTTTTTTTGGTCGCGCGGCAACATTTGCATCTTCATTTCTAGCTCTTTGACATGGTTCTTTTGCTTTGACATGCTTTGACGACCTTTCAACCAGGAATTGTTTTGCGTTTTGCATCTGTTCACCGACTCCGACATAACGACCAGACTCCAACATACTCCAACTTTGTGCACTGTTCTTTTGCGCCGTGTGTGACGAATGTTGGGTACCATGTACCACAACTTGGCGACGCACCTGCCAGGTTCATTTTCTTCGACAGCAACTTGGCGACGCAACGTTTCGGTGCACCCAAACGACGTGGCAGGGCAGCAGGGGCGGCCCGAGATGAAAAGAGTTTGTGTTCCTCAACTTTTCCCAGTGAGGCCCAGAAAAAGAGAAATGTCGCCCCAGAAACAACACTCAACAACACAAAAACACACACTTACTATATAGTTTTAATTGTAGCTATATAGAAGCTACTAGGGTGGAGGCCCTCGCTATTAGGTTGCAGGCCATCCCTACTCGGAACAAGAAGCTACTGGTAACAAAGGGCATCGCGACTAGGAGCAAGGACGCTACTAGAAATGACACTCCAAAGATGCGTTCAAGACCAGCTTTAGACGACCTGCAAGGCTTGGGTAGCCCAGCGCTTTCCATGAGCCGCCTCTTGGGCTCATGCCGGAAAGCCAGGGGAGCCCAGTTCCCGCACGTACCGCGGTTCGCACACGACGCGCGGCGATACGACAGATGAAGACGTGCAGATGTCCAACAAAGGGAACGATGTGACCAACTCGCTTGGGCCGTCGATGTTTTCGCGCACGACAGCCCCGCACCCCAACAGCGACTCGGAGAGGGCGTTGCTTTCTGCGACTGACTTTGGGTCGTGGCCACGTATCGGAGCTAACTTCATGTACGCTTTCTAGGTCAGCGACCGTGTTTTTCCGTGTCATAAGTCACCAGTTCGAGTTTGCAGTGACTCAACGGCGACAACTGGGTGGTTTTGGACCGCCCTTCTCCCTGGCACGGGGCTCCTTCTAACACGTGATGACTCAACGCTATGCGCAGCATGCCAAAACTCGCTGGCAGTGTGGAAGGCTCCCTATCACACGCCTGGTCAATGTGATGAGGAAACCAGCAGAGGCTTCCTCGAAACGGAGCAAAGAAGAAGGACTCCGCGCCAGTCCACAAGCCGAATCAGATGGACGTGGTGCCAAAAACACGTGTGAAAGAACCGGAGCTACAGAGGGACCATGACAGTGAAGGCCTTGTGAACTCCCTTGCAGCAACTTGTATCGGAATTGGGAGTTCACAATATATACCCCATACACTCCATGGGACTGCCATATATGCCGATCAATTGACCCCCCAAACCACCCCAATTGATCGGCATATATTGCAGTCCCATGGAGTGTATGGGTACTCATCTACAAGGAGTACTCAGGTGGAATTGGCCTTGCGATGCTCCACCAGACCTGGTCACCACAAGGCCAGCGTTCCCCCCCCGCACGTAAACCGCTCCCGTTCGGAACGCGGTCATCTCCGAAACCCCGTTGAGAGGAACAGGTTCCTCGTCGACGCTCCGTTCACAGCTTGACTCGTCCCGAAGCAAACCCTATATAGGGATTGGTGAGAAGGTCCGGCCCCTACTGAACGGAGGGTCCAGGGTCGCGTTTGGGTTTTGCATCATTACATTTCCAGACACTCCATGTTTGTCATATATATAACCTACCAGGGAATCCAAATGTGCATTTTTTTTGTTCAAACACGTTCGCACAAAAAATCTGTGCATCCCGCCTTTTTTGTCAAATGGACAAATTTTCTGGAATTCCTCCGAATATTGGGTTTGATTGGGTTTTATCAATAATATTGTTTGGATTTGTTTGGGTTTTTGTCGATAAATTGTTGATAAAGTTTGGGTTTCATATGGGTACGCTTTTGTACGGTATTGTTGCTAATTCGTTAATCAACATGTCCATACGATAAATTCTGTCCAAATACGGCCTTCGCACAAAAACAAAGGGTTCATACGCCTTTCCAGGTATATACATTGACCCCTTCAAACCACACCAATGGGGCGGTAAACAGGAGACCATGCTCATGGACCCCGGTTTGCCCGGTTGGCCCGGATTCGTTTCCGGGTGTGACTGGCGCCTGTTTAAAACACCACATGAGTCGTGAGCACTATAATGAAGAGACCTGAAGCCTCCTGGGCTGTTCAGCTAAGCCGGCCAGCTAGCTAAGCTAGCTAGGTCTCCCTCTCCCTCTCCCTCCCTCCTTCGCCTGCCCCGACTTCAGGCCCTCAAACAGCTGGTGGCCACTTGGATGATCCTTCCGGGCGGTTCGTGTCGTGCGCCACCCCACCCGGAAACCACCCGAAGAAGTCAACACGCTCAGTTCGCTCAGCCACCGCATCAGCCACCGCATCTGTCCGCTGGAGTGAACAACGACCGGTGGAACAACGGTGGGGATGGTCATGCGAGGGGGGAGGGGATGGGGCCATGGGGCCATGCCATGTGGGTTTCGGGGGGGGGGCGCTAAAAAAGAAGCGCATGCTTCATGCGCCAATTGGCGCTTTTGGGCTACCAGGCTACGACAGCTATATGGCTATCGTTCATAGGTTTCTTTTCCAGAAGGCTTCCCAATTGATGTGTCCTTCCCAAAAAGGCTACACAAGCCTTCCAGCTGTCTTGGACGGAATTTGCCCCGTAAATCCTGTTGGTCTATTTCGAGCGCTCTGGGAGTGCGTAGGGACACCCCATGCAGAGTGCCCACAAAAACCTTCGGACACTCGCTATAGGAGACATGCTTTTTCATAGACACTCCACATTGGGGTGCCATGCCAGTTCGGCCAGTTCCGAGTCTTTAGGTCTAGATCCACTCTTCGGACCTCGGGGCCACCCGGAACTCGTTCGGGGCCGCGCGCGATCGAGCGAACCAAGGAGGGGGAGATCCCCCACGTCCAGCCGCTTCTGCAGAACTGCTTCCTGCAGTTCCTGCAGATCCAGGCGACGCGTCCGATCGAACTCCGATCGGTCGGAGGGGGTCGTTGATGGGTCGCCCCGGGTGACACCGGGTGACATCGGTCAGGTCCGGTGCCCCCGGAGCATCTCATCCGGACCGACAGCCTTCGCCGTTTCCACGCGACCCGTTCCATCAGAGACGCGACCCGTTTGGGACGGCCAAGACGTTTTGGCCGTTCCACATCACTCTCAGGCAACCCTGGACCCGAACCAATTGCTACATGTTGGTTTGGTCCATGTCACCCGTTCGTTGTGAGGGTCCAATTTCTGGACGCGAACTCCTACCGCCTCTGGGAAATGGAGTGGACGTGGGATCCACCGAAGCTCTGCCACCATCTTTGCCGTCAGGACAGCGCTGCATTTCGGAGGGCGAAGCTCATTCAACGAGTGATGAGGATGCGCGCCAGTACCTCGATCAGCAATTCAGATTCTGATCTTACAAGATTGAGTTGTGAGCAGCTTTGATTGCCACCTGCAATTGTTGGTATATTGAAGAGGACAAAGACAATCAAATGACAAGGGGGGAGGTGGCAGCACATGATGGCCAAGACCGTCCATTACTACAGTGGTTTCAGAGTAGATGACACAATCCTCAAAAGGTGGTGTATATGGACCCCCACAAAAAAAAGATTGTACAAGACTTCTTGGGGCGCCAGCGCCATCTACTCTGGAACCACTGTAAACGACCCTGGTTTGCACAGTGCGTCACTTTGAATGCCGTATGACACGGATTGCAGCATCGTTGGATTGTTGGCGCCAACTGAGGTACCGAGAAGCAGCAAATTCTCCATGTCTTGCCCCTTTTCTGATGAGCTATTCAAAAAAAACGGTGGGGGGTGACCGTTTGCTTCACACAAAAACCTAGGGCTCCAAGTACCTCCTCAGAAGGTATGACTGGACCCTCGAAACCCACCCCAAACACCTTCTCAGAAGGTACTTGGAGCCATAGCAAAAGGAACAATGTCAATGTACGTCTTCAATTTGAGGGTCGCACGTCACACGTCTCGCTGTGATTCACCAGATCATGGGGAGCGCCGGACGCGGGACGCGCCGAACTTCGCGGCACCCAGGTCGGATTGGAGCCAACGCGCGCTCCTGACGAGACAGCCTGCACCCCAGCTCACCTGCAGTCATTTGACGTTATATTTTTTTGGGGGGTATTTGTTATAGTTATTATTTGAATCCGCTAAGTAGAATAGAAACCGTATGAAACCGTTCTTTGAAGGAAGACCTGTAATTTACAGCTACCTTAAGAAGGTCCATCAAACACCTTTGGACCATGCCCTACAAGTCAAAAGACCCTCATGAACTACTCCCATACACTCCATGGGACTGCCATATATATGCCTACATTGACCCCGCAAACCACCCCAATTGATCGGCAGATATTGCATATAATGGAGTGTATGGGACTGGGGATGGTCATACAAAACCAGGTGATCATACAGGAAGTGTGTTGGCCATGGCCGACCTTCCATGGTCAAAACCAAGGATCTATCTGGAGATCAACTCGATCAAAACCCATGACCCAGTGATCAGGGTATTTTACTGGAGATGGTCACGCAGGTTTCCAATTCTTATAGAAGGAGATCAAGTCGACCAGGTTTTACTGGGTCAGACTGGATGAACGTAGGGATCGGAACTCATCCATTCACCCTATAAGAATCGAGAACCCTTCAAAGGTGAAGGTTTTGAGGGTCCAAACCCTTGCGCACTGCAGGGTGAAAGCCCTCCAGTTCGGTGGGCTGGTCCAATGATGCCAAGTAGGACAGTGCGTATACCAGATCACGAAGGGATGGCCTTGGAACTGCGGAACTCACAAGGATGGGCAGTGCACAGCAACCCTGGAACCTTGCCTCACATCACATATATGGTTTCATCAAAAAGAAGATCCCATAGGTGACGGTGTTTTCGGATCCGGCTTCCCTCCCCATTTCATCGACGACGTTCCACCAAAAGGGTTTCCGATGTCATGGCGCGTTCGAAGAATACTCTCCGACCCTTCCGCCTCCGCGCGCGTCCGGACCGGTCCCAGGAGGAAGTCATTTCTTTCGAACGAGTTTGATCTCGTGAAAGAAGAAGTGCAGCAGTCGTGGCCAAAGGATCGGAGCACCTTTCTCTCGTTTTCGCGTGGCTCGTACACTCGGAGCGCTTGGGTTTTTTCGGAGCGCTCGGGTGAAGATCGTTTGGGGGTGTCTCAGACACCACACATGGGACTGCCATAAACGCGTACATTGCGGGTGGGTTTGGGGGTCAATGTAGACATATATGGCAGTCCCATGGAGTGTCTCAGCAGTGGAAAGAGATTCGGAGAAGTCTCAGCCGAAGCCAGGTTTGGATGTTCTGACGTGTTGGCGTGCGCACAGCATTTCACATATTCTCTCATGTTGCCTGCTTCTCCAGTTATTGGGTCATTGAGAATTGGTGCACGTGATTGGAAAACACACCACGCAACCCTGCCCAGGCGGCTGTGGGACGGATCTGGAACCGTCTGGTTCCAAACATCCTTCGCTATGTGAGCCAGCTCAAGGACGCCCGGTTTGGTGATGCGAAACGCCGGGTGTGAGCTATAAAGGAAACCAGCGCTAAAGCAATTAGCTATTGGATGCTATTGGACTATATAGACTATATTGGGCTTTTGGTGCAAAGGTGTGTAAAGAACTGATTGGCGCCTTAAAAAGGATCATGTTGTGCATTGGCTCGGGACAACGACAATTTCCAGCGATGTGTAGGAGCTTACAGCGAAAGTCGAGAAGGACGATGTCGCGTGGCTGAAAAAAACAGGGTCGATTCTTCCCCAATAGCCATACACTCCATGGGACGGCCATATATGCCGATCAATTGGGGTGGTGCCAGGGGGGTCAATTGTCACCATCGCACACGAGTCGGATGTCGCGCGCAACCGCACCCTCTCTGGAGCACGGCAAGTGTGAACCATAAATGGATGCACCGAATTATTGCACAGGAAGTAGGCCATCCCATGACGACAGAGCACGGCCAGCGCCTTCATCAAAGATGTGAATCAGCCGGAACCGTTCGTCGTCAGACATCAGAACATCAACGCCATGGAAAATTCCTTTAGGAAGCTCTCGACCACAGCTCTTGTTCCTCTTAGTGTCGACGCCACAAGGGAAAGGCTGACACAAATCAGACGGCTGCAAGTGCTTAAGCATCGCACGGAAGGTGGTGATCAAATGCATGTACAAACTGATCGACGCCTCAAGTTGGGAATGCTTGAAGCCCCTCCACCAAAAGATGCAAGCCAGCTCAACAACCGAAACACTGAAGTTGTCATCAATGCGCCAATGAAGTTGCATGAAAAACTCTAAAATATTTCCAATCTTCAAGCTCATGGGGCCACTTGTGCGGCACCGGCAAAAATTTGGGAATCTTGGGTTTCCATGTATAGTTTTCCACAACCGCATTCCATGGCCATAAGGGAAAGCGGTAAAGACAGCTGGCAGGATTGTCAACAACAGGTTGTGCAACTGCAGCATGTTGTACCGGCTTGTGAACTTCAAGCATGTGACTGACAATGACTAGCCATTCTTGCCTGTGAAGGATCGCATTCTCAAGCAATCTCTGGTCTTGTGGATGAATGGCAGAGCATTTCACCGCTTCAGCTTTTGCACTACAATCTGCCCGCCTGTTGTTGACGACATCAAGATATGTTGACCCATGCTGCTGAGCCAAGCTCTCCGTCACGAGATGCACCGGCACATCTTCAAGAACATGGCTGGGAATCCATTCGACAATGACTGGATGCAAATGTTGACGGCGTCGAACTTGCACAATCTCAAGAATCTCATTCCACCACGGCCGGTGGGCCCAGTGGTTGGGCACCTCAACGAAAGTGAGTAGATCTTGAAATTGTTCAACAACAGAGAGGCAGTCGGAGCGAATCAGGAGACGGCCGGTTGCTCTTTTAATAGCACGGACAATCGCGAAGAGTTCGGTAGTGTAGGCACACAATTCCCAATGTCGTACTGGCCCACACTCCAAAACTTCTGCATTCTCAGCAACAATCGCATACGCTCCTGAAGCAAGCCAGAAATAGGTATTCCACTGCACGGATCCATCAGTCCAAACAATGTCTCTGTACTGTGGATCAAAGAGCTGGGAGGTCTCACCAGTGGAAGACACCCGGAGGCGCTGCATCACAACTTCCCTTGGATGTGCATAGAGGCCAAACTGTGCAAAGTTGGCCCCAAACTCATGATCTGGTGGTCGCGGAAGGACACTCGACACCCCCGTGCATTCATGCACGAGATGCTCCCATGATTCCTTGGGGGCATTACACAGGCGGCATTTGGGGCTGTCAACCAAACCTGCACGAAACAATCGATCATTCGTGAGCTGACACCCAACCCGTACAGAATCAAAGAAAGCTTTGATGGGAAAGGGAGAACCGAAATGCAGCTTGGACTTGCGTAGAAAGAGGGAAGACAGGTCAGGATCAAGGATCCCATGACACTTGACAATGTCTTTACGGTTGTTTGAAACAGCTTCGGTATAACACTTTTGCTGAGCAAAATATTGCAAGGGTTTGGCAAAGTCTTTATGGTTTAAGGCATACAAAGGGATTGGCTCAGCCCCACGAAAAGAAACACTCAAATCATCAACAAGTTTCAATCCTAGGATGCCAAGACAGTGCTGCAACTGCCACAACAAAGACTCTGCCGGCCATGGTGTGGATGCCTGAAGCGCACGGCAGACCGCAATGAAAGACGAATGCTGGTGTAGAAATCTGACAAAATCCAGGATGGCATTGTATGCTCTTGCCATCCGAGGCTCACATCGATGCAGTTGACCCAATAACCCAAGAACAAGCATTCTCGATCTCCAATGTGGACGATTTGCCCACAGAACATTGACAATCTCATTTTGTGTTTTCCAAATCACGTGTTGGGGAATTTTGGTGATGGCCGCACCATAAGTGACTTGGGGAACCACCTTTGAGCAAATCAACGTGAGCTTGGCTTGTGTGGGAATGGGCAAAGCATCAATATTGCGAATGTCATCAATGATTTTCCCTGTCTTCTTTTTGTCAAAGTCATAGCTCTTAGACGAGTGGGTATAAATCTTGATGCCCAGAACATCGATAGTGTCAGCAACAGGAATATTGGGAAAACTCGAATGAGCTTTGGGCTTAGATTTTATGTCGGAAACCCACAATTGGCACTTGGCTGGGTTAGAAGTCTGACCAACCATGGAATCCCAAAAGTTTGTGGCCGTGTATGCCTGGAGCAAATTATCGAGATTGCAAATGGAGGCCCAAAGGTAAGCATCGTCAATAAATGCTTTTGCGGTAACTTGTGGGATGAGGTTCATGAAGATGGCCCATACAGCCATGATCAGATTGACGGCAATCAATGAGAATGAGCAACCCTGCGCAACACCGTTACTTGCAGTAGTGGCAAGGGGAGAAATCCACCCTCTCAGAGCCAAGTGTCTTTTAAGGTTGGTGTACATCTGGATGAAGAAGTGAACAACCCCACGAGGCGCACCAAAGGCCATCATCAAGGCACCGGCAATGGATGGAATGATTCTATCGAAGCACTTAGATTTGTCAAGCTTCAGTCCTACCAGGGTATTGCCGTGGCTCTTGGCCGTACCCTATTGAAAAGATTCAATAAAGTTATTGATTTTCAATGCCATTATTGAAACCTTGTTTTTATTGAAAAAACCAATAACCTTATTGGTTTCTGTTTCAATAATATTATTGGTTTGTTTCAATAAAGTTATTGGTATGTTTCAATAACTTTTCCAATCTATTTCAATAAGCCTATTGGTTTGTTTCAATAAACAGTTCAACAACATAATTAGCTATTTTTACATATATATATATATATATTGGCACAGGCTGTTTCAATAACCCCTGCTGGTTGTTGCAGTAAGTTATGAAAGACAACAGTGGCTTCATCTCTGCTGTCTGTGTGCAGTGTTTGGTGCTTCAGCCCAGCCTTTGCATGGCAACAAATTTTGGCTCCAGCTGTCAACTCTTGCCAGAGTTTGGCCTTGTCAAAGGGCTGGTCTGTGGCCATGGAGGTGGAGCTGGACCCCTTGGACCACCTCACAGATTTTGCACCACTGTTCTGGCACTGTGTGGTGTGTGCAGATCCACACTGTGATGGGTGGGTGTGGGCAAAAAGGCTTGGCACCTACAACATGGGGCAGTGGCAAGTGAACTGCTACAGGTGTGGGAGGAGTTGGCGCTCAGGCTTTCAGCAAAATGGTTTCAGGCTGTGGAGGTGATGGCTTTGCCATTGGGCCTTGCCAAAGGGCTCTAAAGGGATGTGGGCCTTGCCAAAGGGCTCTATAGTGTAGGGATGGTCTTGCCAAAGGGCTCTGGTAAAATCTTAAACCTTGCCTTTCAGGCCCACAGCAGGTCTCCAGGTGCCCTGGGCAATTTGCCAGGCCAGCACACCATCTTTGCCACCATCCATGTCAAAATATGCACTGAAACACAAGCCACTAAGATTCATTTGAGTTATAAGAGCTTTCTGTGTGACCTTCAATTGGAACATGCACAATTACCTTGCATGCAGCTGAGCTTTGCCCAAGGGCCTGTGACAAATTTGGTCAAAGTAGGGGCCTTGCAAAGGGCTCTCTCAAACCAGAGTCTTGCACAAGGGCTCTTCCAACGATGAAGCCCCAGAGGAATCAGAGGAAAAGGAGAAAAGGTGGTGGCAACAAGTGCCCACCCAAGAGCAAAGCTTTTCCGGATCTGAGCCAAGAAAGGTTAGATGACCTGCTGCAAGGCTACACCAGAACCCTTGGCTGCAGTGAGGCCATGAACTTCTTCGATTACCTCCGCCTAGAGCCTCAACAAGCAGAATGTCCAAAGTCATTGTTCAAGCTGAACCAGCTTATATCTGTGCTCCTTGATGCCTCCCCAAGTGCAAAGGTGAAGTACAGCTACCTCAAGCAGTCCTTCATAGTGTTGATGCAGACCTGGGGGGCAGAGCTCTTTTCAAACCACCTGAAGGGAGAAAAGGGCTTGCTGGCTGGAAGGGCAGCAGATTGTGTTGGAGTGATTCTCAGCCATTGGAGAAGAGTCACTGCCAGTGACAAAGCTTGGGAGAAGTTCACGTCAAGGCTGGATGACAGCCAAGCCAAAGTGATGGAGGTGCTGAGGAAAAAGGCGACAAGCCCAGGAAAGACCCTGAAGGTTCACAAGTCAGATGTGACTGTGGATTCTCTGGGGTTCCCTATGATGGTGGCCACAAGTCCAAAATGCCATGATGGAGATGAAAGTGGTTATGAAGAATTGGTGGATGGTGGAGAAGATGAAGAAGAGGAATGCACAAGCCTTGCAAAGGCTGCATTGGAAGGGAGCCCACCACCTGTGCTGAAGAAAACTTGGAGGGCTGGTGCAATGAAAAGACCATCTGCAGACCTGGAGCCAAAGGAGTCTGCTTGCTTGCCTAAGAAGAAGCCATCTGCAAAGCTGGAGCCAAAGGGTGCATGCCCTGAGAAAGATCTGATCCACCAAGACTCTTTGTCAATTGGTGGGGGCAAGGTGCAATCCTACATACAGCACCAGCCTGGCCCAGGCAAAAACAAGAGGCTGGTGGTGGCAGTGACACAGAGCCAAGCCAGCCATACAACAAAGACACATAGAGAGCTTGTTGAGCTTCTCCTGCCACACTGCAAAAAGTTAGGTGCATGCAAGGCCAAGGTCCTGCTAAGCCAGGGAAAAGCTGTTTACAAGGCATGCAAAGTAGGTGGTTTAGGAATGTAGCCTTGGTATTAGGGCAGA